CCCGTCCTCCCCCTACCGGGCAGGGGAGCAAGCCGTGGTCCGCCTGGCCAACTTCCTGCTGGGCCAGGCCAAGATGGCCACCCTGAAGAGCTGGCGAAGCTGGCTCACCGGGACTGGGATGGTCGATGCCCTGCAGCTCTTCCGCCTGCTGGTGCGGGCCCGCCTCTCGCTCGAGTTTGAGCACGCAGTCCTGCGGCGGACGGTGCCCACCTTCGAGGAGCGCTGGGCCCTCGAGGGGGCGCTCTGCCGAGTTGAGGCGGGGCGCCTGCTCCTCGCCCTGTAACACCCCCGGCTGCTCAAGCTGCGGACACGCGTCCAGCGGGCTGAGGCCTTGGACTTCGCTTCACGCGGGTTGACCCCTGAGGCCCCCCATGGGTGTCCCTGCTGGCAGAAATGTAAATATGTAAATAGTCCTTTGGCTCGCTGTGGTTTTTTAGTCTAGAGTGTATGGGCAGGCCTTGCAGGCCGTGAGCCCAGGACCATGTCTGTGAGGCCCAGGTGTTCGGGCCAACCTGTACATACTCTCTCTGCTGGCCCCGATTTGTCACCCTCCCTGGAATAAACGCCTCTTAAAAGTATTTTTCTTCTTCTTTTTCTTTTCTTTTTCTTTTCTTTCTAAGTGCTGGAGATCTTTTAATTTCTACCCAGAAAGACTGTTGACAGCAAGGTCAAAGGCATCTCTCTTTGCACTTGAAGCATAGTCCATGTAGTTTCCAGTTTTCTGGGTGTTCTGGGCATAAAAGCCTGTAGGGCCTTGTTTGTAGTCATGGTGCCCCATTGGAACAAGGATCTGGTGGTTGGCTCAGTGCTGAATTTAGCTGTCCTGGTCAGTGCTGAATGTTGTCTGACGAGGTAGTCAAGGTCAGGATTATGTCGCTTCACTTAGGTGTTTCACAGTTGTTCAAAGACTGCAGCTCTGCATTACAGGGTTTTTATCTGGAACCTATCTGGTTTATACCTTTGGACAGAATTACTCAAGTCGACCCAGCCTTGAGATCTTATTGGGCAAGCCCATCTACAGAAACCACTACTCTGTTCCCTTTTGTTCCAACTCTGTAGATGCTTGTAACTCCCAGAACTGGGGCTTTCTCCTGATGATAACTGAGTGAGAGTCTGTTTGCTTGTAGCTGGATTTTTTATGAATGATTAACAGAATGGATTTTCACCCTTCATCTCGAGTTCTGGACTTGTGTTGAATACCCTGGGACAGTGACCTGCATCCTTATACAGTCTCACCTAGGACGTTCGTGGTTTGAGATCGGATTGGCAACACAGCGAAGATTTTTCTTAAGGGTCTCAAGGGTGTTGGGCAAGAATTGAACAAGGATGTGAAGCTGTACTAATCTAATCCAATGGCTCCATTACAGAGGCTTGAACTCAAACTAGGTTACCTTGTCCCAGAGATGCTGTAGTGTGAGAGAAGAAATTAGTTCGAGCCAGTGGTGTTACTTGCTGAGCTCTGCTGATCTAGGCTTTGCCACAGAGTCTTAAATACAGAACTGGACAAGGATGAAACTAGAGAAGAGCAGGTATCAGATGAAAATGATCACTGTTCAAGTGTAGAGGTCCCAGCTGAGATCAGGACACCATTATACGAAGAGCTGCATGCACACACATGCACGCACTCACGCTCACTTTTGTGCCCACGTACTCTTGCTCTCTTTCCTAGTCAGGTCCTGCTGTGAGGAGCTTAATCTAAATAAAGAAGACTGGGAAAGGGAGTCTTCCCCTTCTCTACAGAGGGAGAATGAAAGCAGAGGAGGATGAGGGCTCTCTGCAGAAGATGGACAGGGTGTCTGGCAGAGGTGGAAATGAGATGGTCCCAGGAAATCTGGATTCAATGTCTTCATCAGAAGACCATATTGTCATTGCTGGCACGATAGAAGGCAGCTAGTTGTGAAAGGGGCTATATGATGTAGGGCCTCTGACAGCAGGGGACTGGGCTTGATGACCAGGAGGGCACTGCCATTCCTGTGCTCCTATAACCAAGTCCAGTCAAATTCCTTGGAGTTCTAGGTACCTGGTGAAGTATGTCTTCAGTGTCAGTCTTCTTTGTATGAATCCCCTGCTGGTTTTCATGGCACTGTGGAGCTTTCACTCTGTGAGTTCACTAAAAAAATAGAATTGCTCTTGACTCAGGCACTTAGACTGTTTTGAGAAATCCCTTTGTGAGGCTAGTGGTCTCTAGTAACTTGTGTGTACTAGGGGTGCACCAATAAAGATTTTCTTGGCTGATACTGATGGCCGATTATTAACCAGCCATATTGGCCAATCCCAATAGCAATCTAATAGCCGATCTACAGGAATGCAGCCCAGCAGCTTGGGGAGCAGCATCCTGCCAGTAAGTCTATGGGGAGGAAGGGGCATGGGAGTGGGGCAGATAGAGGCCCCCACAGTGAGGGAGGGAGTGGGGCAGGGGCAGGTGCTGCTCAGCCAGGGCAGTGAATGCGCCCCTAGGGCCAGAATGGAGCTGTGGGCAGCTGGTCAGGCACAGTGGGGCAGTTCCCCGCCTCTGCATGCACCCCCCGGGTGAGGCATGGGGTGCATGCAGAGAATGACTCATGTTCTCAAGGCAGACAAGGTTCCTTGGGTGAATTTGATATCTTTTATTAGACCAACCCAAATGGTTGGAGAATAGTTATTAAGCAAGCTTTCGGGTTCAAAAACCCTTCGTCAGGCTCAGGAAGCTGCAGCAGTTGGTGTGTGCTCTTCCTGGATGGAATGAAAAGTAAAGAAGCCAGGGGCTGGGCTGGGCTGGGGAGTCAGTTGCCAGGCAGATTATAATGTATCAAAAATCCAATGTCTATGTTTAGTCCCTGATCTCTAGTATCCAGGAGGTTGATGAAATGGAGCTCATAGGCTCGTCTCTGGGATGTGTTGTGTAAATTTCCCTTGAGGATCAGAACTGAGAGAGTGGTGGGGAGCCACACCCCTCCCTACCCCCCCCAGCAGCTCTGTCCCATGCCCCACCCTGTGGTTGCATTCGCTGCCCTGGCTAGGCAGTGCCTGCCCCTGGCCCACTCCCTCCCTCACCATGGGGGTCTCAGTCTGCCTCCCCATGCCCCTTCCCTCCCCGACACCCCTTCCCTCCTACATATCTACCAGCAGGAGGCTGCTCTCCAAGCTGCCAGGCTGCATTCGTGGTGCAGCTGCGCACATGCACACGACATTTATCGGTGACATTATTGGCCAAAAAAAGCCAATGGCTGGTAATGTTAATTTTCCTGTTATTGGTGCCGATCCAATATGTGACTGAAAAAGGTGCATCTTCAGTATGCACCTTCAGTAAGCAGGGGGTAGGAGGGCTTTGTTATGTCCTGTATTAGCAAGGACATAGGACAGTGCACCAGGTGCTGCCTGATGGAGCTGCAAGGTGTTGTGCTTCATGCTTCCCTAACTTTCTGTTTGTTTTCATTTTCCTGCTCAGGTCAGCACATCCAGCTTCCTGGAGGGTCCTTTGCTTACACTAGAAGAGAGCCACTTGGGGTATGCGTTGGGATCGGAGCCTGGAACTACCCCTTTCAGATTGCCTGTTGGAAGTCTGCTCCAGCCTTGGCATGCGGTAATAGAGACCCCCGCCCTGTTTGTTTAGGTTTTTGAGGAGTGAGAGATCATAAGGTGAAGGAAAGATTGGGGATAAGTGTTTATGGCTTAGGAGTGCACTTGGTGGCTAGTAAAGAAACTGATGGGCTCATAGGCAGGGATTGAAGACTGTGATTCTGGCATGGAGAGGAAGAAAACCAAGAAAAGGACTTGAGAAAGTCAGCAAATGGCAGCTGAGACAGAAGTGTGACAGGAAGGAATGCTGTTGCCTCAGACCAAGCAAGTAAGAGGTCATGCTAAACGGTGGTGTACAGAAGAAGGAAGAAATCAATGCAAAATCTTTGCCCCAGTTCCTTCTTGGATTGCTTTCCAGTACCAGGTACCATACTGGCACAGGGTCACTGCTGAGAACGATGCAGTCTGTGTTGGCTGCCATGTCAATCATTTACTTCAAGTCTTTGATTTAGATCCTGCCCCTGCCCTTTCTGAATGCTTATTGAGATCAAGCTCTTTTCTTCTTCCATGTGGATGATCTGTCTAAATAATTTTCCCTTCCTACCTTCCAAGCTTTTCAAGTTTTAACCTCCCCCCTCCTATTTTTTTGGATTCTTGTAGGTAATGCCATGATCTACAAGCCCTCTCCCCTCACCCCCATATCAGCAGTGATGTTGGCAGAGATCTTCAGCAAAGCTGGTGTGCCCAAAGGGTTGTTCAGTGTGGTGCAAGGTGGAGCTGCCACCGGCCAGTTTCTTTGCCATCACCCAGATGTGGCCAAGGTTTCTTTCACTGGGAGTGTGCCAACAGGCATCAAGGTAAAGACTCTTCAGCATTAGAGGAGGGTAAGAGGCTTGTAATTGTGCCTCTAATGTCAGATGATGCTCTGCAGGTCAAATCTTCCTGCAGGGTTTTGCATAAGCAGCCCACTGCCGAAGACATGGAAGGAGCATGACATGAAGCTACTCTTAGGGCACAAAACTGTTACGTAAAAGGCTGTGCTGAGTCTTCAGCATTGGGGCTGGTTTTAGGCAATAACTCTTCAAGGGTGTGCTCACAGGTTGAGGTTAAGCCTTCCTATCCTCACATAGAGTGTAGCTAATGGATAAACCTGGATGTTCCTGGAAATTTAATAAGGCTCCCTCAATCAGCCCCAAACTTGAATTAAATCTCTCTTCTCACCCCACGTCATGTAGCTGGGGAGGAGAAATTGATAGCCATTCCTACTCTTCAACACGTGTGTCGTCCCCATGTCCGTGTCGTGTTGTGTCGTGTCCCGCCCCCCGTGTATGTTAGAGCTGGTTAGGAAACTTACAATGATTTTTGTGGAAAATGCAAAAATCTCTGATCTCACAGATCAGCAAAGAAGGTCTATTTCAATGAATTCATACAGCCATACTAATCACTCTGGGGCTTGTGGAAATCTTTACCTTGGGTAAGTTAGTCTGGGACTCAAGGATTTTCTTTTCCTTCCATTAGTGTGGGATACCCAAGTAGTCCCGTTTCCTTTGGCAGATGGGGACCTCACTCATACCCTTGGTTTGCAGTTACTGCCTGCCAGAACTAAACAAATCTGCTTCTTACAACCTTCCCTTTTTTCCCTGCCCCCCTCATGTCTTGCTGGTTTATCTAAAAAATCCATTCTCTCATTAGGTGGGGACCCAAGAAGTTGAGGGCAGTTGAGAGGTACACTAGCTCAGTACAGATATGGCTGCTGCTTTTGGTATTAAGGATATTGCCACATTTATGTGCTTGTGCATCACCGTGAACTCTGGGCTAGCAATGCCCCTGCATGTGCAGTTCTGGTTGATGTGTGCCTGGATCCTTCCTGCCTAGTTCATTAGTTTTAAGTGTGTTTTAACTTACAGCATGGAAGATTTCCAGGAAGCCTGGTTCTCTTCAGGGATTTTTCTGCCATTTTAATCTACAGAAAGTATCCTGGAAATGTGCCCAGGCTGGAATGAACACAAGTCCAGAAAAGCAATATCCAGCTTTCTGAATGACTTGTTTCTGTTGGAAAGGGCTTGTGTGTGGGGCCAAGTCTTGTCCCTCACCCCTTCTCTAAGGGCAGGAGGGGAGTTCTTCCTTGCTCAACCCATACACTGTTCTCAGAGGTGGGTGTTTGTGGGTTTGCTTGGCGCCCCCCTGTTATAGCCCTTTGTCCATTCCTCACCAACTTGTCCTTTCCTTCTCTCCTTCTTTGTGTCAGATCATGGAGATGTCAGCCAAAGGAGTCAAACCAGTCACACTGGAGCTGGGGGGCAAATCCCCTCTCATCATCTTCTCTGATTGTGTCTTGGAGAATGCCGTGAAAGGAGCTCTGATGGCCAACTTCCTCACCCAGGGGGAGGTGCGTGCCTCTGTGGGGGTGGAAGCATTCACCTGTTCATTTCCTACTCATGGGATAAGCTTTGGGGAGGGGAGTAGGTAGAAAAGATTGACGAGTTAGATTGCTCCCATTCCTATCTCTATCCTACAGATAATTCATAGTTGGTAGGGTCAGAAAGGACCTGAGCAGATCATCAAGTCCAAACCCCTGCCATGACAGGAAAGAGTACTGGGGTCAAACAACCCAGCAAGGTGTTCATCCAGCCTCCTTTTAAAGACCCCCAGGCTAGGAGCCAGCACCACTTCTCTTGGAAGTTGGTTCCAGATCCTAGCCGCCCTGACTGTGAAGTAGCACCTTTTGATATCTAGCCTGAATCTACCCTCTGCCAGCTTGTGACCATTATTTCTAGTCACTCCTGGGAGTGCTCGAGGGAACAGAGACTCCCCCAATGCCTGCTGGTTCCCTTTGACTAGTTTGTAAACGGCCACCAGGTCCCCTCTCAGCTTTCTCTTGTGGAGGCTAAACAGGTTCAGGTCCCATAGCCTCTCCTCATAGGGCCTGCCCTGCTGCCCCCTGATCATGCAAGTGGCCCTCCTCTGGACCCTCTCCATGTTGTCCACATCCCTCCTGAAGTGCGGTGCCCAGAACTGGACGCAGTACTCCAACTGCGGCCTGACCAGTGTCGCATAGAGGGGGAGGATCACCTCCTTGGACCTGCTTGAGATGCATCTGTGGATGCATGACAAGGTGCGGTTGGCCTTCCTGACCGCATCCCCACACTGTCGGTCCATGTTCATCTTGGCATCAATAATGACCCGAAGATCCTTTTCTGCCTCTGCACTGATGAGAAGGGAGTTCCCAGCCTGTAGGTATGCTGCTGGTTCTTTCTCCCCAGGTGCAGCACCTTGCACTTGTTTGTATTGAAACCCATCCTGTTCTCATCCACCCAACCTGTCCAGGTCCGATTGCAGCCTATTCTCCACACCCCCACCACATCTTAGTGTCATCTGTGAATTTGAACAGGGTGCTTTTTACCCCCTTGTTCAAGTCGCTGAGGAAGATGTTGAACAGTGCGGGCCCGAGGACCAAGCCCTGGGGAACCCCACTGCCCACATCCCTCCAGGTTGAATAAGACCTGTCCACCACCACCCTCTGGGCGCGGCCCTCCAGCCAGTTAGTGACCCATCTGACTGTGTAGGTATTGACACCACAGTCTCCTAGTTTTTTAATGAGAATGGGGTGAGACAGTTTCGAAGGCCTTCCTAAAGTCCAGGAAGACTATGTCTACCGTGACACCTGCGTCTAAGGATTTTGTGACCTGGTCATAGAAGGCCACCAGGTTGGTCTGACAGGACCTGCCTCTAATGAACTCAATGGACCCAATGAATAATGTCCCAGCAGACAATGCCATCACATTTGCAAGTTACTTTTACTCTCGTTTCCTGCAACAAGGAACCTGCCTTAGACAGCAGCACGTGATGAAACATGCCTGTAAAGCTATTCACTGGGTCTCGAGAGAGCCATCCTGTTACTGTTGGCATATCACATGGGCTGCTAGTGGTGAAAATAATGCTAGAAGGCAAAGTTTGGGGTGGAATGCTTGCTTCCGTGACACCTTTCAGTTCCACAGTCAGTTGCCACAGAAACTGTGTTTCTCAGGAGTGGAGCTGATATCACCGTGGGCTCATCTTCTGCCTGGTATCTTACACAGACCAGCCATTCCCACTCTTTGCACCTTGGGGTCTGAGCCATAGTGGAGCAGTCAGAGCAGATTGCTGTGGCTCCCCCTTGCAGTCTTTTTAAATTCTATTATCCTTCAAGTCTGCTGTAGCAAATCTGCAGTAGTGCAAGGCTTTACTTGCTGACCTCATGCCAGATTCTGTAAGATGTACTTTACACACCTGCTGACGCAGGCTCCAGGAGCATGTTGGCTTTCTGTAGCTCCTGGCTGCATAATTACTAAATCGCTGTGGTGTCTCTTGATGGCGAGTCTAGGGTTTGAACAGCCAGCTTGGGTTATCTCATGCTTTTGGCTGTATATGCCTTCACCACTTGATGGTGCCAAGACTACTAAAAATCCTTGCTTGCAATATGCTTTGTGGTGAGAAAATGAATGGAGACAATAGCATGGTACCCATGTTGGGACAGCCCCCGAATTGGGAGGGTTCCAGGGCTGTTACAACCTCTGTAATCAGTCACACTGACAGGAAACTGCAGTTTTACTACTGGCCTGTACAAGGGTGAGCCAGCAGGGGAAGAAGCCCAAATCTTTCAGATTCCTCCCAGTATGGGTGGGGAAAGATAGTTGGGGTGTTTTTTAACTTAGTAGCCACATCAGTAATTTTAGCAACCAGTTGCCGAATTCCATTTCTAGAAGATACCAATCTAAATGACACAGACGGTGGCTTGTGCTTGTCTGGTGCATGGGATAATATGCTGTATGGGAGTGCTGTAATATGTTTTATACCCCTATGACCCCCAGAGAGCCTTATGCTGCATTGGATGTTCCCCCACTCCCAGGTTTGCTGCAATGGCACTCGAGTGTTTGTGCAGAGGGAGATCCTGGACACTTTCACAAAGGAAGTGGTGAAACGCACACAGAAGATTAAAATTGGAGACCCGCTTCTGGAGGACACAAGGATGGGGGCTCTCATTAGCCAGCCCCACTTGGAGCGAGTCCAGGGATTCATTAAGCAGGCGAAGGAGCAGGTGAGAGCACCGAACTGTCTTGGATTGAATGGCGTTTGTTTTAAAGTGTCTTGACCTCTGGTGGAAGGACTTCTCCCTTCCTCTGCCACTCTTGTAATAAACAAGTGGCATGCTTCTTCTTCCCCTTCCCTTCCCCTATGCCTTCTGAGGTAAAGCCCTTTTCTGCTGTAGCTGCACTGGTGATCCTACTAGGGCTACGTGTTTTAGGGATGACAAATGACATTATGACTAGACAGTGATTCTGAGATGTAGGACCTCAAAGTACTACCCAGGGTTAGGGGATCATGGGTTAATTTGCATTTTAACACACAAAGCTGAGATTCAAACTCCAGGTTTGGTTGATGTATTTATGGGACACATATATAGATGCTGCAGAATCTGGGCATTTAATTTTAAAAAAATGTGCTCATGCTTGCAAAAAAACCACCCCTTTCAGATGTGAGAGGCTAACTGTTACAGTGACACATCGCAAAGTCAGCAGGTAGTACCTCTGGGAGTGGTGAAGTTCTCAGCCTCTTTTCTCTGAGTTAGTCATTGCTAGTGCTGTTTAATGGCTGATGTATTTAAACAAATAGAGTGGGAAATAGAATGAGTAAAGTCTGGACAGGGCAGAACAGAAGGTTGGTTAAGACAGGAAGTTGTTACATACAGGCCAGATTCCACCCTTGATCTTTGTGCAGGCTTCCTGTGGGTCCCACTGGGAGTTTTACTGTGGGTTGACTGAAAAAGTTTATCTAAATATGTACCATGGACTGAAATTAAGCTAAATTTAGCCTTCTACACATAGAAATCTGATAGGCCTTGGCTAAAGGTTAACTGTAGCGCTCTTCTTTTTAATGTTAGGCCAGTAACAGATCATGTGAGCAGACTGAATTACAGCTCACTGGACTCTCAAGACAAAGCAGTGAGAAATACATTCTTCCTGCCAAGTGCCAAGTTCAGGACTCTGCATTAGCCTTTCTGCCTATTTACAAGGGGCTGCAGCTCCTGGCTGTACCAGACATGTTAGCAATATTAGTGCTGTTCTCCTGTTACATACAGAGCCCTGAACTTGGGTCTGAATATGAGCCCAAGCTCCTGAACAAGCTCTTAATAGGAAACAGCTAAACCACATTCATGCAGAATAAGGTCTCCTTATCCCTGGGAAGTTACTGATTCTGTAGCTAGAGTGACATGGTCTGGTCTCTAGCAGCTCTGAGAGGGTGTAGGGAGAGTAGTTTCTGGTCTCTTAGCCTCCTAAACAACCAGGAACTTCACTGTGGAGCTCTTACCAAAATAGATTTGACTTTTTTCCATTCCCTCCCTCCAGTAGGCTCATGGGGATGTTGGATTCCAAGATGCTCACTAAGTCAGTCTGGCTTTTGCCTCAGTCTTAAATGCCCCATCAGGAGGCCAGATCCTGAGGAAGCATGAAGGCATGGCACAGGGATAATAATACAAGTGAGAATGGTGAATTAAGTGACATGAATGTGTTGGTGCAGCTGTGGCTGCTGCTGGCTGACAGGTACATCAAGGCTCCATGCAGACTCTTGGACATGCCTGTTTACCTTCTGGTTTGGCTTATTTCCAGGGGGCAAAAGTGCTATGCGGTGGCAATCTGTATGTTCCAGATGATCCCAGACTGAAGAATGGATACTACATGCAACCCTGTGTTCTAGGTATGGTTTCTTATCTCCTTATTGGTACTATTTTATGAATAGGTTAATCCTAACAAAATCTCCTGTGTATCTGGTGATAGCTGGAACAGTCTGATAGCTGATTTCCAGGTAGCAATGTAGCTGTCAGCCCAGCCTAACCTCTGAGTATTTAAGCCACTTCCTGGATGGGTTCTGCAGCCCACACTGATGTAGCTTGTACTTGTGCTAGGTTAAAATTAGCTCAGGGTTGTCTACACAAGTGGCATTACACTCCTTGAGTGCAATACATATATATTCTGAAGAGTACAACCATTAGAGCACTCAAGCTGCATAGGAACATGCCAGATTAAATTAGTGACATAGGTGCCTAACAATAGACAGCATCTCAGGATTCAGAGGGAGATGAATAAAATCCCCAGAAAGGACAACTGAAAGACAGTCTGTTCAGAAGGTGACATTTTCACCCCTAATCTGGGCAATTAGTGGTTGCTTTACTTTAGAAGCCTGAATGTTGATACCCACTTGAGAAGATGTAGCCAAGTAGTGTGGCTGTTCAAAAAAAGGTCACTCCTTTATTTTTGAGTTCTTTGAATATTTTTGAGCATCTTACTTTCCTGTCTAGTGACAGTGAGTGCTTCAGGCAAATCACAGACAATATTTAAAAAAAATATTGCTTTCCTCTTTTATTTTCTTTAAATGGAGAAGCTCCCCTGGTGGTACTGAGTGCCCAATCTTCTCTTCACTGTTTGTTTGGTACACCTTTTCATTGCTTCTCTTACTCGCCCCCTCTTTTAACTGAATAGCTCCCTCTTCTCAGTTTCTTGCTTTCTAATGCAATTAGACTTTGTGTCTGCTGTTGGTTTTGTGTAGGGATGGCCTGTTCTGACTAGTGGAGGGTACACTTTTCATACAATGTAGCAATATTTTCATTATCTTATCCTGTTCTTTATACTTCTTAGCATCTTGCTTCACTGCTGGCCATTGCATGCAGAATAGATTCTCTGAGCTGTCCCCAGTGGTGCCTGAAGGGAGGAGGGTGGGTAATTCAGACTATCCTTTTTAACTTGCCTTCACTATCCACTTGCCCAATTTTACTTAGAAAATTCTTGAAGCTCTTTGCAACACCTGATTAACTTACTGTTCCCTAGTAGACTTTAAAGTGAGGAACCGGAAACATGAACAGCTGCTAAGGGCTTTGAATAGTGGGGTATATACCTGTTCCTTCTCTTATGAGGACAGAACCAGAATCAAAGTGTAGTCTGGTGAGGATTGATCTTTACACCTCAAACCTCCAAGAGTTAGGCCGTAATAAAGGTGAACAGCATTCAAGCTTGCAACCCTCAATTTGTTAATATATCTTATTACTGATTGGCAGTGCCCTCCTACACCCCTTTAGCCCTTGGCCTCTCACACACACTTAAACCAGTACCTTTTCAATACTGGCCTGCACATGTAGGGAGTATTGTCCTGAGTAATGGTTTTAGGTTAAAGTTCAGTGCAAGAGTGGACTTTCATAGGACACAATGGATGGTGGTTTTCTAGACAGAAGGGATGCAGCCTTTTTGCTCAGTTGGTGTTTAGCAGAATGACTGATCAGAAGATGGTACAAAAGCAAATGCCTGTACTGCACTGAAGACTGCACCTACCATGATCCCTTTCCACTCTGCATTGTGCTCCACACCTTCTAGTTTGGCTAGTAGCATGTCACCTAACCGTTCTTCAGTCAACACAGCAGGTTATGGTGGGGCAGTACAGAGAGTTCCCCTCTACAGATGCTTTCACTGAAATCTGTAATGTTTTTCAGGGAACTGCAGAGATGACATGACATGTGTGAAAGAGGAGATCTTTGGACCTGTAATGTCTATCCTACCATTTGACACTGAGGAGGAAGCTGTAGAGAGAGCCAATAACACCCCATTTGGGCTCGCGGGTGGTGTCTTCACCAGGTACAGATAGGGAGCAGTGTCAGTTGTAGAAATGGACTAGTGGTAAAGGAAGCCATTTACTGAATCAGTTTCCTTCAGGGCTTGGTGTTCCACTTAGAGTGCACAATCTGAGCCACAAGTGGCTTTCTGTAATAGAGCTACATGGAGCAGTATGGTGGTTCCATTCATGCTTTATCCTATTTTTTCTGGCACTATCATTTGTATTGTAATTGAATCTAAAAGGTTCAGTCATGATTGGGGTCCCACCATATTAGGCATTTTGTAAACCGGTAGGGAAGAGCTCCTGCTTCAGAGAACCTGCAGTGTAAAAGAACATGTCTAACAAGAAATGTATCTTGGCAGAAGTGCAGGCCTTGTAAGTAATAAGGCAATTTCTTTCCAGTTTGCCCTTAACATAACAACCCACCTCCCAGCTGTCACTTGAATGTCTTCAGTCCTTGCTCAGCCTGAGTATTCTCTTTCCTTGCCATGAGAAGACGGTTGGCTTCCTTCGGGGGGGGGAGAAGCAGATGATGAGCCAGAGATGGCCCTTGGTGGTTTCTCTGTGGTGGAAGGATGGAGACAGGTGGCCCATGTAGCCCCAGCTTGCTGCCCTGGTCTAGTAGCTATAGGTCAAGTACAACCCATGAGCAAAGACTGGGTGCTGTGTGTTAAGATCCCAAAACACTGCATGCTGGTTGGGGGCTAAATCTGCATTCTCTTCTCTATACAGTATGTGTGGATATGGGGAAGGAAATAGCTGCCTGTGGGACTCAAGCACCCAGCTCTTGAGCTGTGTGCAGAGGTGTGGGGAGTTGGCATAAGAAGGGATGGCTCTTGCTGAACTGCTGCTATCTCCTGCAGGGATATCCAGCGGGCTCACAGGGTGGTAGCTGCTCTCCAGGCTGGTATGTGCTTCATTAATAACTACAACATCAGCCCAGTGGAGCTGCCATTTGGAGGATACAAGATGTCAGGTGAGCTTTGTTTTGGCTTCTTCTTTAAAACCTGCAGAGATAAGAATGTTGGTGATAGGATGGAGTGGTATCCATCATTATAGGTTGAGGTAGATAGGATATCTCTGCTCTGCCCTTGGGAAGCCAAAAGTGCCTGGTTACTACTGTTCTGAGGGCTCAGCAATAGATTTCCCAGTACCCCAGTTACATATGAATGGAGAGACTAGCAAGTGGGCTGTAAATTTGCAAGCAGAAGCAGCAAGGGAAATTTAAAATATATAGCATGGCTCCCAGGTCAGAACTGCCCTCAGCTAATCTTTATTGTAGGGTAATTTGAAATGCTGTCCTGTTCCCTTCAGGGCCAGGGAGGGGCTTGGTGTTCTGATCCCTTGGCTGGTTACAAGGATTTGTTCTAGGGAGATGAGTAAACTCCATCCACTGCCAGCACACCTATTTATCTCACCCTTGGATCTTGTGTTTGTCCTTCACAGGGTTTGGCAGAGAGAATGGCAAAGCAGCAATGGAGTATTACTCGCAGCTGAAAACTGTCTGTGTGGAGATGGGGGATGTGGAGTCTGTATTCTAATGGCTTCAGGCCTTGCTGGGATGCAGCTGACCCTTCTCATGTCAGCCAGAGACCTGCAGTAATTTTTACATGGTAGTAATAAAAATGCCCTGAATATCAAGTAACAAGTGCCAAGGGGGGGAAAAGTGGGGGAATATGTTGCAGTCCCACAAGCAATAGGGACTTAGGCTTCTGGGTATGTCACTCTTCACTGTCTGCAGGGGAGACTGACACACACAATGTCACATGATTCAGTACCAGCTCATATTGAAGCATTCATACTACACAAAAGGGCTATAACCATAAGAGTTCCTGATTGAGTACTGGAATGGGCCTGGGCCCTTTTCTGTATGGTGTGGCTGAGGTGAGAGAAGACAGTGTCTGCTACACCCCAAACTCGTTCTCTTGTGTTTGGGCTCACTAAAAAAGTGTTACTGCAATTAATGCACACAAACATTTAATGGTAGAAGAATTGGCCCAGGAGCAGTAGACAGAGTGGGCTGTAAGTTCTACTTCTATTTCCTGTATTAAGCTCTCTTAGCTTGACAAGGCTAGAGGCTTCACACCAGGTTTTGAACCTAAGCTGGCTGTTGCTATATGCATTGGTCACTTGAAGAGGCCTGACTGACACCATCCAGCACATGTGTAGTAAGGGTAGTGTTTAATGATGCCAAGCAGCTATGAGATGCTGCTACATCACCTCCATCAGAATGAATATTGGTGCTGAGTTGTTTGACACCCCCATGCTCCCCTCCCTTCCCCCTCTGCTCCTTAAGTAGCTTGCTTATTGCTGTTTATATACTTTCAGAAATCACTGTAAAACAAGTGTCTAACTCCTTATTGAGGAAGCAAGTAAAATTTCAGACACAGCTTTTAGACTTATTTTGTGCAAGTATAGGAGACGCCTGAAGGCATTTTCTTTGCCCTCTAAGGCAAAGGCAGGGTCAATGTTAAAGGCATCCTCTGCAAGGCATACTTTTATTACTAGTTGAAACTGTCCAGAAAATGTGGAGGTGGTCTGTGTTAGAATTACTGGCTGCCTTACCCATAATGAATCCAAGCAGTTTTCTGATTCATAGGTTGTGTTTCATCCTGTTATCAAAGTCAGGGTTTGCCTAGCTGGCATTTCAGGAGTTAACTCAAAAGCAAATCTCACCCACAGCAGAGCTGCTGTCCAGATTACAGAGTGTAAATAAAGTCTCAGTTGCCAGCAGGATCTTTTAAAACAAAGCAATGATCGCAAATTTAAAGAAGTAAAACTGCGGAGGGTAGAGTACAGTAAGCTTCTCACCAGAGCTGGCTGGCTCTCTTCTCCTAGCAGGTGATAACTAACTTGATTCTAACGCTTTCTATTGTGTAAAATAGAATACAATTGCTGCAGGAATTCAGATCAAACCAAAGGAAGTGATGAGAAAAGCTTAAAAGGTAGTCAGAGTTTGTGCAGCTGAAGAGATGAACCAGACAAAGGTAGTAACACCAAGGAGTTATTTGGAGTGCTGCATACACTTAAGTAGGAAGAAAGGTATAAATGTAAATTCTCAATTTAAGATGACAGAAGTTCTGCATAAGGCCTGTTTTTAAATTTTGGCATAGGCTTCAGCTCATGTATAAGATGCATAACTGGATGAGCTGAAATGGTATAGGGCAGAGATGTTAAACATACAGTTTGTGGGCTGGATGTCATGCAGAGTTCCCAGAGAGGCCAGGAATTCAGGGGCAGGCCTGCTGCTGAAATCCAGGATGCAGAACCCTGTTGAGGATGTGTGGGGGCAGCAGGGGGCAAGCAATGGCTATGTTAACTGCCACATCCAGATCTGGCCTGTATGGAGCCCCACAGTCTGGATCTGGCCTTGAGGGCCAACTGAGTTTGACACCCCTGGTACAGGGAAGATATCTAAGGAAACCAGTTCTAGGTTGTCATCTATTGAGGGCATAAAGCCTTTTCAATAAAGAGTAACTCTGAAGGTGCTTCTAAAAAGTTAGTAATGTACTTAAAGAGAGAATTTATGTTCTCCAAGGCACGTGTATTCTGGTCCTTGCTGCCTCCTCTTTACTTGGAATTGGGAAGAATTTGCTTTGAAGACTGCAGGGCAAGACAGCACTTGGGTGCAAAGCCCTGGCACCTCCTCCAATGGAGAATGAGTTGTCACTTGCAAACAGGGTAATGATGCTACCAAAGTTGTGATCTCATCTCATGGGCAGGAGGGGAGCAGAGGACTCAAGTTCTCCTTCAGCTGTGTGCACCAGCTAAGTGAGACCCACTAGCTGGCACTCAGCTCCAGCTGCCAGAAGCAAAGGCTTAAGCTTTATCTGGGAACCAGAACAAGGCATTGATGCAGTGCAAAGCAGTCAACTTATCTGCATTCCTAAGTGAAAGCATTTAGCTAATACTCTTCTGGGCATGAAAAGATGGTCCTGCTTGCTGGGGAAAGATTCAGTTTTCTCCACACCAGTCTAAAGAGCAGCTAGTGCTTGTGGTAGCATGTTGTCTGCATTATCTTCCTAGCACACAGGAGGAAGTATGGTGCAATAAAGAGCCCTGAGTGCTAGCCATATATACAAGAGAAGCTCCTCCCCATATCACTAGCCAGATATTCCTTTACAAGTGCCATTTCAGTTTTACTTACCTTTTAGAAGAGTCCTGAATTGACCCCTTTGTGTCTTATTTAAGAGAAGAAACAGCAGCCATGGTGGAAATTAAGGATTGTATTACTGGAACTGCTCCCCACCCCACAAAAAAAAAAAAAAAGAAAACATCAGATTCTCCAGGGAGAGCACAGGTATCTGCAGGTCAGTTACTCAGTGGCAACCCAGCCGAGGTGCTGAAGGGCTGAATACAGAGCGTTTCCCACCAATCCAATAAGTGCGATTGAACCAATGCCTCCTCGTCTTCTCTTTTTGGGATCTATAGAGAAGACAATATGTGCTTACTTAATGAAACAGCATCATCCTGCTTTCTAGTTTGGATTGTCTGCTCCCTAATCCACAGCACTAACCTGAGCAGAGCAGTGAAGTTTATAATTAACATTTTAGGAAGAGGACAGTGTTTAGATTGGGGCAGCTTGCTAGAGTGACTTTAGTCTGAGCTATGCAATTTATCCCCTCTCGGAAGAAGCCACAAAGTTTTGATGGGACATGATGGTTAGAAGCATGTAGCTGAGGTTTTTGTTGCATTAGCCCTGCTGCCAGGCAGCTTGGTTTCCCTTCCCATGATACAAGCCAAGTCCTGAGTTCAGGGTTCTGTGTTTCCTCTGCTCTAGCAAACAGGCCTGACAGCTGAATTACAGCTGCATACTTAATGCTACTACAAGTAGTAGCAGTTTTCCTTGGGGGAATCTGAACTAGGCAGGCATATAGGGGATGGAATAATTTTAGGTAGCACTTGCCCTGTGGACAGTACACAGAATGTCTCTACTTCGGGGTCTTGTGGCTTCTGCATTACTACAAAAGTTTTGTCATTCTTTCTCCAACCACTCATGCCAGTCATCTAAGGAATGATCTGGTGCAGAACTAGCTTGGCAGGCTAAATACTTCATATACAACAGGGGAGAGGCTGGCATATCATAGTACTGCCTGAATAGCTGCTTTGGAAAAAAAACATCTGCAAATAAGCTCTCACCCTGGGATAGGAATCTTTGTCCTCATCATCACCAATGACTTGCAAGCCATCTCCCAGTAGAGAAAAAAACTGGGAGGTTAGCATTGAGGTTGTAGGGTGCAGAACTCAAGTTTCAAATGAAGTCAGTACTTTGATGGAAAGCACTGTCAGGCCAGTGGGCATTCAGTCTAAAGACTCACCTCCTGTGTAATAGCCATAGGCATACAGTATTCTCCCAATGATCCAGGCATGGCCAAGCCCAACAGCAACACGCTGGATATAAACAAGGAAGATTAAGGATTTTGGAGCTTGGAAAACTGACTCACTGCTGTTTATCCACTTTCACTTGGCTAGTTTGATACACAAACACTCCCTTTCCCCTTTTTTCAACTCTATTTCCATTCCTGGTAGCAGAAAACTCCACAATTTTTTTGGCTTTTTGTAAAATGGAAAAGTTATGGAGGTCTGTTTAGGGAAAAAGGCTCCTTTCCCTTCTGCCCCTCAATTTTATGGTGAACCACTTTGTAGTACTGCACATATTACAGACCACCCGAGACTGAAGCTCAAAGCATGCAAGGGGGAAACTAAAGCTAAAACAGGGCAGCTTAGTCCTTTTTCATTTGTTTCTGCATACTGTGCGGTAGCCCCACGCACTCAGGCATTTAGCAGGACCATATGACAGTAAAATCCTACCCCCTTTTACTCTATAAGCCTAGCATATGACATACCACAGACAGTGTTAATCTCATAAAAATATAAAGATAGGGTTCCCCATGTTGCATTTTACCTATAACCCCACCATTTTAGACCCAACCTACGGATAGTACTTACCGGGTGGTACGCTCCACCTGTAGCTAGAAAGAATAGGAAGGCGGGGTAAACTTCCAACCTGAAAATGAAACACAGAAGTTTACACTTGGACTGAAGTTTCTACTAGTTTCTGAAGAGATAATTGTGAAAACTTAGCCTGGAAGCCTGCCTCATCTTGCCCCACATTAGCAAAATTGAAAAAAGTCTAGATTATAGAAACCACAAGGAAGGTGGTGAACTGCTCACAAGAAGATTTGAAGTCCAGCCTTTAGCTGCCCCTATATTACCAGGGGAGTGGAGGCAAGGTCTGCCATGTGGAGCCAGAGGGAGGTACAATGCAGCCTCACTGTGCACAGATTTGGGAAACCTGGAGATTGCAGAGGCACTGCCCAGGTTCATCACTCCATTCACTGTATGCCCTGAGGTTCCCTTTTAGAGGCACTGCCAAATGCTAATCACTATTAATAAGCTAGGGAACACACCCCAGTCATGCTGTGTGTGCAGTCTCATCACTCCTGGCTGGTAATCAACAAGCCATGAATTCTCTGGGACATTCAGACACTCAGCACATCAAGATTCACACCCAAGGCAATGACATACCTCTGGAAACACAGGTCCTTTGCCAGAGGCAAACTAGCGGGGTCTATGACACACCACCACAGTCCCCTCCATAAGGATGGCTTATAGTCTGGCCTTGGCTGCAAAAACAAGCCTCTGCAGTATTAGGCAGAATGAAGGCCCTCCACTGACTTGCCTACTAATATTGTACTGTAACATAATGCAGAATTCTTTTCAGGAAACAAACCCAGACATAAAAATGTTTAGCAGCAGCAAATCCCAGTTTGTAAACAGCAAGTGCTCACAAGCCAGCACTTGGCCTACATTAGCATGCAATACTCACGTGTTCTGGTGTGCACGCTGGATGCAGTTGAAGATATGTCCATTATCAGGATCTGTGCTATACATGATTGGATACTGTTAAAGACACCAGAGGTTAGCAAAGAGGCACTTTCACATCTTTTTGCTCTAATGTCATTCTCCACTACTCTGGGCATGCTTCTGTATTCCCCAAGTTAACATTCCCAAAAAGACAATCCTATTTATTTTTTTCTTTTGACAAGACCATCCAGCTGTCTCAGGTTTTGAGGAGTCTAAGCCAAGGTGTACCACATTAGTTTCCCTCAAGAATATGCTAAAAAAAATGTATTTCAAGCTCCTTGTTGCACTGACTTAACAGCACACAGAAGCCAGGGTACAAAATCAACACCTGCCACATGTTTCAGCAATTGCTACTAGCTACAAAAAATAACAACATACACCCCCACCCTTTAGCTCTGCTCAACCCAGTCGTGGCTGGTTCTCTCTGCAATCCCTCTGAATGGCAGGAGGCAACAAATGCTTTCCTGAAACACCACAGGGGGTTCAGAGCTATGTGCACTCATGATGCTCTTTGTTTACCCACAAACATGGTGTTTGTGTGGGTATTTCACCCATGAGCATCTACTCTGAATATAAGCCTGCTAAGCTCTGGTCTCAACTCATGCACTACACTGAATTCAATGCCTATTGCTTTTACTCATCTACAATAAAAACGTTCCCTTGCCCTTACAAGATTAGTGCTAAGGTAGAGTACTTGTACCTGCTACTCCATGTCACAAGACCAGTTTAGCACCTCAGAGACCCTAAACTAGGTGTGTAGGAACTGCCATCATAGATTATCCATAGGGCCTGACCCAGGCCTCAGTGCTAACAGCATAAGCCCATAATCATTTGAGCTAGAGAGGTCAACTCAACTGAACTCTTATCCTCCATACACCAGTCACTACAAGAACATGCATCACTGTTACCCGGGCAAAATTAGCACCCCACAGCCATCCAGATATTGCTATAGCCATGGTACACACCCACTGATCCACCCTCAATCCTCTATGGCTGAGAGCTTTGTAACACTAGTTCCCAAGTCTCTCAGATACACACCTGGGGGAAGGGCTTACATCAGGGGTGGGCAAAATGCGGCCCGGGGGTCGGATGCGGCCCACCAGGCCATTCTATCCGGCCCACGGGGCCCCTAAAAAATTTAGGAAATTAATATTAATCTGCCCCGGGCTGCCCTCAATGGCTTGCCGAAACTCAGTAAGCGGCCCTCTGCCCAAAATAATTGCCCGTCCCTGGCTTACATAGTAATTATTTGAGTGGTTACAGCTGCCTCCAAATAGGGAAGGCTTCACATGCTAATGGCCTGACTCACTCACAGGGCCAGCCACTGCCCATCCAATTAGCCCTATTCTCCTGTAAATAGGATTCAAAGATGAATTGGGAGATGAAAGGCACTTTGAAAAAAGATTCTTTGTGGGATTTACCTTTAAAAATCTTTCTACTTTAAAAAGAAGGGGAAAGGAATGCATAAGTTAAAGTTGCTGAAAGATCAGTTCACTTTTTCCTGTCCCAAATCCATCTTTCCCACAGAAAACCTACATTTCCTGGTTGCTGGGAACAGCATGTACTGACAGGCAAGACTGCTTGGTTTCTTGCTTGTCAGCGTCTCCAAGTCTGGAGCTTCCTTGCTAAAATACACCCCTTTCATTCCCAAGCAGGTAATGCTTCACTGACCCTACCCCACAGAGATTCAGCTTGAAAAAGTAAAAGATAAAAAGAGCATAGTAAAATGCCAACTCTGTTCCCAGCTACATGGTGGGGGAGATGTTGCCAGGCTACCAGAAATACTGTATTCTACAGAATTCTGTATGCTACAGAAGTCTCTGTTACAAGCTCCATTCTAGATTTTAGATTCCTGGAAATCTGTAGATTTTGCAGCTTGCTAGATTGGTGGGGCTTGGTTAGCACACAGCAGCAGACTCAATTCCATCCTACCACCCCAACCTAATCTTACACCTTACTGTCACCTCCCATGCTTTGTCTTGCACAGGAAAGCAGCAAGGTAACTGGCACAGAGAACAGGATGCAACATTCAAATACATCTATGTGGGCATAGTAAAGGGATGCATGCCACTTCTCCCTCCCAGCGGCACTGACTAGAGCAAAGTCAGGGTAGTCACCAGGTTAGAACCCAAGCACCCCAGCATGTCAGGCTCATAGGAAGGACAAGAGCATAACTAGTACTGCAATACCAAGTTAGTTAGAGCTCTGGCCAGTTCTGAATTTCTGCTGCATAGTTTTGAGTTACTTCCCTCATTCTCTCCTCCCATTTAGGGTATGAATGGACATCTTCTTTGGAATGGGATCAACCATGCCAGAAGTTATGGCACAGCTGCACTACTTCGCTGACGTCTACAGATGTCACTAGGGTTGCTGTCCTGCAGGGTCAGGCTCCTGTTGCACACAGGGCTTCAGGGGTCCAATCCTGTGTGACAACAGCTTTGGGTACCATGCCCTGACTTGGGACACACATCTGTAAGCAAGGGAGGCTGCATAGTGGTTCTTCCACTTGTAGACACATGCCTGGGAATCCCCTGCAGGAGAATTCCCATGCCAAGCAATAAGCAAACAGATGTCTTCCCCTTTAAGGCACCACAAATTCCGCCTTTATTATGGCAACATTTTTTTCAGCACCTGGAGCCAGACAAGGGGCTAGGACATCTGTTTGCTTGCAATTTGTGCCTCCATAAAATTTGTTTATGGTGGCACAAAGGTGAAATCTGTGTGTGCTTTTAAGAGTCACTGGATAAGACTGCTGTTGTCTTGGCTTATGCTAGGGCTCAAACGAGGGACTTCCTAGGTACAATCATGAGTTTCTACAGCTTGGGTTAGAGCCAGGCTCTCTAGCTAAGAGCTGTAACAAACCCATATAGCACAGAACACTGCAAAAGCCTTTACCACAAAGCCACCATTAAACAGGACATGGTTCTATGGAGAAAGCTCCTCAGGACCTGGTGAGGTACAAAGATACAGAGCTGAATACTGCAGCCACCTGATGCTACCCAACAACCTCTGATGTACAGTACATACTAAAATCCAGAGAAACAAACTCCAACATGCACGTGGCCTACAAAATTTGAGCTTTCCCCTAATTTCCACTGCTTCTACCTTTCCAAGCCAAACTGGCTTCTTTGCTTGAGAAAAACTAGTAGAGGAGCTCTTAGTGCCTTGGGGGCAGGCCTACCCATGCCTCCCACTCACCTCTATATTGTACTTCTTGCGAGCCTTCGCCACATTCACTGCAAGGTGTGTGATCAAGACAAAACTAGCAGCACCAGTCAGGACCACGTAGCCATATTCCTTGGAAAGGACCACCATCTTGGCACTGCAAGAGAGAAAAATTGTTATGGTCCTGTGGCAGGACTGAGAAATCCACAAAAAAGAATGTATATCAGGTGTACAATTAACCCTCTGCTAGTATGAAGAGTGGGAAGCGTGGCAAGAATGGATAAAAATCCTTCCAGGATGGGGGCTTGGGCAGCTGAAGGAAGGAACAGTGAATCACAGGGCTGTCACCTCTAGTTGCTTACTGAATTCCAGGCCAAGCTGTTCAGCACAAAATGAAATGAATTGGCTCTTGGTTCAGTTCTCATTAGGTGTGCATACTACACAATCACCACTGTCAGAACAGCCCCACATTAGCACTCACAGGGATCAAGGATGGGCCCTGGAGACTGCAGATCCCTGGAAATGATCCTCTTGATCACTTTACATGAGGTGCTCTTGGATGGATGCATCCCTGGCAGCAGTAAAATTTGCATGACTAGCTCTATTCAGATGTATTAGTTCTATTGCTGATGCTGTCCCAAATATGGACTTGGGGTGCGTGGTCTAGCTCCCACTGAAGACGGTGGTAAGATTACAACCAACTTTAGTGGAATTGGATTAGACCAGAAGCCATTGGCATCTGCTGGAAAGTTGCAGGACATTTAACCCTAACAGACTGCCTTCAAAAAGGGCTTTTGTCCCATGTCTGGCCACAGCAGGATGTGACACCACATGCTGGCATACAACACAAGAATTAGTGGAAGGCTCTTCTCACTTTGACAAATGTATCTATTTAGTAAAAAAGTGAAAACAAGACTTTGGACTAGAAAGCCAGCAAAACGTGTAATAATCTTATTGCCAGAAGCTGGTGAGCACTAAAGAGAGCTGGCCTGGACCCACATGATTAAACAGAAAGCCCCCAGAAACAGAAATCTTTGGTTCTCTTCTCCAGTAGGTCTGGTAAATACCAAGGTCTTGCAGACACACTAAGAACCAAAAATGCGTCCTCATGCATGCTACCCAAACCTGCAAATTTCATAGACATTTGGGCTGGAAGGGATCCCGGAGGATCATTCAGTCCAGCCTCCTGCCCCATGGGCAGGAAGTCAGCAGGGATCATAGGATCTCAGCAAGATAAGCATCCACATGCGTCTTGAAGGCATTCAAAGTGGGTGCTTGAACCACCTCTGGCGGCAGTCTATTCCAGACCTCAGGGGCTTGGACAGTAAACAAATTCTTACGTCCAGCCTGAATCGGTCACGGTGGAGCGTGACTGTTTGATCTTGTCATCCCTTGGGGCGCTCTGGTGAACAGATGCTCCCCCAGATCCTGATGAGCACCCCTGATAAACTTATAGGTGGCCACCAGATCACCCCTGAGCCTGCACTTTTCTAGGCTGAAGAGTCCCATGGCTCTCAGCCTCTCATCATAAGGTCCGTTTTCCTGACCTCTGATCATGTGCGTGGCTCTCCTCTGCACTCTCAAGCTTCTCCACATCCTTTTTGAATTGTGGAGCCCAAAACTGGACGCAGTACTCCAGCTGCAGCCTCACCAAGGCCGAGTACAATGGGAGAATGACGTCCCGGGATTTGCTTGAGAAGGATCTATGGATGCAAGCTAGCGTTTTGCTCACTTTACTAGCTGCAGCATCACATTGAAGGCTCATGTTCATCTTGTGGTCAATCATGACCCCCAAGTCCCTTTCATCCATAGTGCTAACCATCACCCTCCTGTCCTCAAGTGTGGATACTTTACCCCAAAGTTTGGTATCATCGGCAAACTTGGCCAGTCCGCTTCTGACTCCAATGTCCACATCATTAATGAAGATGTAGAACAATATAGGTCCAAGGACAGAACCTTGGGGGACCCCACAGGTCACAGGGTACTATGACGATTGACTTCCATCAACCACTACCCTCTGGGTCCGACCATAGAGCCAGTTCCCCAGCCAGGAGATCATGGTGGACCCAAGGCTGCAGTTGGCCATTTTTACCAAGGGGTGATTATGGGATACCAGATCGAAGGCTTTTGTAAAGTCAAGATGTACAACATCAATCTCCTCTCCCTTGTCCAGGTGATAAGTCACCTGGTCATAAAAGGAAATACGATTGGTCAAGCAAGACCTACCCACAACAAGCCCGTGCTGGCTATCCCTCAGGATGTTGCTATTGGACAATCCGTTAAGAATGACCTCTTTGATAATCTTTTCTAAAACCTTCCCTGGGATAGAGGTCAGGCTGATGGGCCTGTAGTTTGCCAGACCTACTTTCCTCCCTTTCTTGAAGATAGGCACGACATTGGCCTTCTTCCAATCTTCGGGCACTTCACCAGAGCACCAAGAGTTCTCAAAGATCTATGCCAGGGGCTCAGCTATGATGCTTGCCAGCTCCCCGAGTACCCTTGGGTGTAAACTGTCAGGGCTGGTTGACTTGAAGGTGTCCAGCCTGTCAAAATGTTCCTTCACATGGTCAGCTTCTATGGAGGGCAAGGAATCTCCCTCTCCCAGGTTTCCCTCACCCACAGTGGGCAGGGGCATCCTATGGGACTGGTGAAAAACTGACGCAAAGTACCCATTAAGCAAGTTTGCTTTTACATGGGCATCGGTTGTCAGTTGTCCCATCTGGTTTAGCAGGGGTCCAATGTTGCCCTGGCTTTTCCTCCGGCCCCCCACATATCTAAAAAAGGAGTTTTTATTGTCCTTGATATTTGTAACTAGCTGGAGTTCCATCACAGCCTTGGCTTTGCTCTGGTCCAGACCTGCACAGAGCAAACCAGGAGAGTATTCCTCCTTGGTGCTGGTTCCAGTCCTTCATCCTTTGTAGGTCTTTCTTTTAAGATGCAGGAGGTTTGCCAGTTCCCTGGAAAGGCAAGGGGGCTGCTGTGCTCTTTTGCTGCCTTTCCTCCGAGACGGGATAGACTTTGCTTGTGCATCCAGGATTGCTTCCTTGAGGAGCAACCACTCATCCTGAACTCCCCTCCCCTTTGGGTTGTGGCCCTTTAGGGCCTCACTGACAAGCCTCCTGAGCTTGTCAAAGTCAGCTTTCCTGAAGTAAAGGGCTTCCATATTACTGACTGACTTGCCAGCTTTATGGCTCATGGTCACCGTCACCCAGCTTCCCTTCAATCGTTAGGTCGCCGATTAGGTCATCCCCGGTTCCCAGTATGAGGTCGAGCAGCGTCTTCTCTCTCGTCAGCCCGTAGACTTCCTGCATCAGATAGTGGTCATCCACGTATGAGAGAAAGTTTTGCGATCGCTCAGATTTGGCTAAGCGCTCCTCCCACGAGATGTCTGGGTAGTTAAAGTTTCTCATGACAATCATGTACCGGGAGTGCGCGGCTTCAGCTAATTCCTTGGCAAACTCCTGGTCAAGGTCTTGACCCTTGGGTGGGGGTGTGTAGTAGACTCCCACCATAGTATCCCCTGTGCCGTGTTCCCCACGGATTTTAACCCAGAGGGTCTCAAGTCACCCACTGTGGATGTCAATGTCAGCTTGCAAGGACGTGTAGCTTTCCTTGACATAGAGAGCTACACCTCTGCCCCTTTTGTTCACTCGATCCCTCCTGTACAGGGTATAGCAGTCTATATCTATGGTCCAGTCATGGGTGGAGTCCCACCAGGTCTCCGTTATCCCTATGACATCATAGTTATTTGCGTTTAGCAGGAGGACAAGTTCCTCCTGTTTATTCCCCAAGATCCTGGTATTTGTGTGTAGGCACGCAAGTGTTCCCTTGGGGGCCCTCGCCTTGGCTACAGATTGTTGCAGGGCTGGGATCCCTTAAATGCCTTGACCTGCTGGCTTTGCAAGGGTTGCTCACCAGGCCAGCAGTAGCAGTAGTCCCCCATCCCCTGGCAGGCTTAGTTTAAAGCCCAGTGGAGCAGGTCAGCCAGTCTGGCTGAGAAGAGCCTCCTCCCCAGCAGAGAGAGGTGGAGGCCATCATAGTTTCATAGTAGTTAGGGGTCAGAAGGGACCTGAATAGATCATCTAGTCTAACCCCCCGCCACTGGTTGGAGCACACGCTGGGAATCACATGACCCCAGACAGGTGTTCATCCAACCTCTTTTTGAATTTACCCAAGGTAGAAGCAAGGACCACTTCCCTAGGAAGTTGGTTCCAGATCCTAGCCACCCTAACAGTGAAATAGTGCCTCCTAATCTCTAGCCTGAACCTATTCTCCAGCAGCTTCTGGCCATTGTTCCTCATCACCCCAGGTGCTACCCTTCCTATTTGCTGCTGATCTCCCCTAACGAGGTTATAGGCAGCCATCAAATCCCCCCTCAGCCTCCGCTTGCTGAGGCTGAACAAGTTCATGTCCCTCAGCCTCTCCTCACAGGGGCTGCCC